TTAAATTAAAAATTTTAAACCATTTAAAATTTCGACTTTTAGATCAGACGACCAATTCCAACATAAAAAGCAATTAAAACAGTTGATTTCTTTTTGGATACCAATGTGATGGGCAGTGGGACATACAATTCCTTGTCTGCCACCACAAATGGTCACTTAATTATTCGATTTACAATTTAAAATTCGATTTTTAAAAGAAATTCTTTTCCCACTATCCATATTTAAATTCAAAATTTTAAACTATTTCAAATTTTGAATTTTAGATCAGACGACCAATTCCAACATAATAAGCATTTAAAACAGCTGATTTCTTTTTGGATACCAATGTGATGGGCAGTGGGAAATTCAATGTCTTGTCTGCCACCACAAATGGTCATTTAATTATTCGATTTAAAATTAAAATTTGATTTTAAAAGAAATTCTTTTCCCACCATCCATATTTAAATTCAAAATTTTAAACCATTTCAAATTTCGAATTTTAGATAAGATGACCAATTCCAACATAAAAAGCAATTAAAACAACTTATTTCTTTTTGGATACCAATGTGATGGGCAGTGGGAGTGCCTTGTCTGCCACCACAAATGGTCGTTTAATTATTCGATTTAAAGATTAAAATTCGATTTAAACACGACCAATTCCAACATAAAAATAATAGGAAAAGGGTAATGATGTAGCAATCATGATCTCATAGTCCACTATATATATATATATATATATATATATATATATATATATGTATTTGAAATTGAAAAATTTGCATTTGATTCAGAAAGCTCCTCACCAACTTCTGTGCTACACAAAAAATCAAAAGGCCTTTATTAAAGGGGTATAAGTGTACAACCTTTTTTAAAACATTGTAGAATAATAATAATAATGTTTTTAAAGATTTGGGAATTTAAAATTTCTATTAATGATTTAATCTAAACACACATGCAAGAGTCTCTCGTGCATCTTAAGTGAAAATAGAAAATGCATTGATTGTGAAATTCGAATTTCAAAGTTTTAACATTAACAAAAAATAGTAAATGACATTGATTGTGAAATTCGAATTTCAAAGTTTTCATATTAAAAGAATATAGTAAATGGCATTTATTGTGAAATTGAAACTGAAATTTGGAAATTAATTGTGAAATTGAAACTGAAATTTGGAAAACCTTGATTTTATATATATATATATATATATATATTTATATAATTCAAAATTTTAATACCATTTCAAATTTTGAATTTTAATAATCATTCAAAATTTATAAAATTAATTCTTATATAATAAAATATTTAACTCAAAACCATTTTGACAAAGACAAATATATAGACAGCTTGTAAGTAATTGGATACCTCAAACTTGTTATGTCACAAATACAATATGTCCAAGTCTGTGTCATGTTGTGTCCGATGTGATCAGCTTTTAATTTCCAACATAAAAAGAGCCTAAATTAAAACAACTGATTTTGCTAATTAAAATCGTAGAGGGATGCAGAATGATTTTTCGGACATTCAGTGCCTTGTCTGCCAAAATCTCACAAATGCGTTTTATAATCACTCGTTTAATTATTCGATTTAAAGATTAAAATTTGATATTTTCACAGGGGCATAATTCTGAAACAAACCACAGGGAATTTGAACTTTTCCCTTTTTTTTATTAATATCACACTCTCCACCAAAGGAAAATGAATCCATCGTAACAAGATATGAAGTGAAAAAGGTAAACATAATATTTGTTTTTAATATGATTCATATATTTCGTATTTAGATAAGAATTTTTATTGACTGAATCAATAGAAAGTCAACTGAGGTCATCTTATTTATATTTCCTTATAAAACAATTGAGTTATAATAAGTGGTATGGTGATGAAGTGCATATAATAGAAATAAGTTAGATATAAACTATATTGGGTGAATCAAAATAAATTACTGTATCAATTTTCAAAATTTCTATATCAATTTTTTTCTCTTTTTCTTTTTTATTTTCTCGATTTGTGTGTCGATTTCCAACAATTTAAAGATAAATTTATATTTTTACTAGCATTGGGATAACGAATTATCTGTTAAGAATTGCTATAAGATACGAAGCGACGAAAGGTAAAATATTTTTCTCATCTTATCAAGATAGCAGAAAGCATGTACATTATTATTAACTCTCTACATACTCGAATTTATCCTAGTTTTTTTCCCTCCAAACAAAAATCCTCCTAATCTATATTTTTTCTTTACCAATTTATAGTTGTACAAAAAGATTAAAAACAATCAAAGTGAACTATTAAGTAGGGGTATCAATATAGGTTTTGACACGTGGGTCGACCCGCGACACGACACGAAAATTCGTATTCGGGTTGACCCGCAAAAAAATTCGTGTCGTGTTCGTGTTGAGAAAAATGACACGTAAAAAATTCGGGTCATGTTCGTGTTGATGTATTCGTGTTTGTGTCGACCCGTATTTTTTTTAAATTATTTTATTTTTAATTTATTTTAATATCGATCCATTTTTTTAAAAAAAAAATTTGTCAATTACCATTTTGACCCCTATTTTGCGTGTTATTCGTGTCGTGTCAACCCGCAAAAAATTTGTGTCGTGTCAGTGTTGAAGATTTTGACACGAATAAAAATTTGTGTCGTGTTAGTGTTGATGTATTCGTGTCGTGTCAAATTCGTGTCGTGTCGACCCGTTTTGACACCTCTACTATTAAGTCTTATTAGAACTGGGATAATGAATTTTCTATTAAGAGGAATTACTGCAAAGTTATTAACATTTCGCGAATCTTCCAAAAACCTCCACTAAAGCAAAATAAGTAAATTCCAACAAGATGTGAAGGAAGAAAGATAAAATAAAATATTCAGAAAAAAAATGGAATTTTCCCATTTTTATTAAGATAGCATAAAGTATATATGCAGTATCAACTGTTCACACTAAGATTTATCTTAGAATGACAAAGATCCCTTAAGACAAAATCATCATAATCTATCTTTTCTCGTTGCCTATCTATAGATATACAAAAAGATTAAAAACCTTCCAAATGAACTCTTGGGCATTGTTAGCACTAGAATAATGAATTCTTTATTAAGGGAAAATATTGTAGAATTATAAATATTTTGTTAATCTTCCAAAGACCTCCACCAAAGGAAGATGAACCTTGTACAATATATGAAGGGAGATAGGCAAAAATACTTTCCTCATCTTATTAAGATGGCATAAAATATATGCAGACAGAAAGATTGCCCTCAAACAAAATCTTTTTTCTTTGCCTATCTATTAATGTAGAGAAAGATGCTAAATGAACAATTAGGCATTGTTAGCACATTCTATATTTGTGTGAATCTTCCAAGGACCTCCACTAAAGTTAAATGAATCTATTAAAAGTCATGAAGAGAGAAAGGTAAAATAAAATATTCGAAAAAAGTTGGTACTTTCTTCATTTTACCAAAATAGCATAAAATGGAAGCAATATCAACTATACATCACTTAAATTTATCGGAGTAAAAGGGCAAAGACTATCTTCCCATCTATATTTTCTTTTTGCCAATCGAACATAATTCTCAGAATCTATCTTTTTTTCCCCTATCAACAAACGTTTTAAAAACAAGCCAAATGAACTATTAGGCATTGTTAGCTCAGTAATGATTAATGAATCTGTTTTCAATTGACAGGAAATACTGCCTAATTACAAACATTCTGTAAATCTTCCAAAAACCTCCTCCAAAGCATAATGAATCAGTTACAACAATAATTATAAACATTCTGTAAAACTTCCAAAAAAATCCACCAAAGTATAATGAATCTATTACAGCAAGATATGGAAGGTGAGATGTAAAATAAAATATTCAAGAAAAAATGAGAACTTCCATTTTATTAAGATAGCATAAAAGTTATCACAGAATAGAAGGGCAAAGATTTCCCTCCGAACAAAATCCCTAGAATCTCCCTTTTCTATTTCCCTATATCTATAGATGTACAGAGGGATTACAGACAAGCCAAATGAGTCTTCAATGAAAGATTTGAAGAAATGGCTTGTGAAGATTTCTTAACGTGTGAAATAAGCCAATCACGTCCATTAATAGATCTCAACTCCCTCTCTAATCTATACGTAGAATCTATTGAAAATCCTCTTCTCTTCTTATCCTATCCTATCCTATCCTCAGTAGCCCTTCCTTCCTTACTTCCTTGGCTTGCTGTTCTTCGTCCATTGAAGCAAACAAGGTTACCGCGATATCAGCCAGCTTTCTCCCGTTCAACCTTGACTTGTTGTATTTCCTCAATGGTGCATTTGGAGCTTCAAATAGAATAGGAAAAGCAAAAAATTTCTATTTTGGCGTAGTATAGTCAAAATGCTGCTTCGCAATCAGAGTCTACAATAGGAAAAAAACCAAAAATTAATAATTAGATTAATCAATTGAAACACTAGTTAACCAAACTGAACAATGCTCCTGCATTAATACGTACTGCTTCTCTAATCGTTTTGGAGACATGAAAAAGCTGCTTCAAATCTTCATGGTCCACACCACACAACACCTTTATCTGCCATTCAGAATACATACCCATTTCACAACCAGAAATGAAAACTAATTAACAATCACAATGTAAGCTTGAGATTCACAAAGTAAAAGAAAGACAAAACAAAAAAGCTTCAGAATTCCATAATTACCAGAATGTCTTGAGGAAGGGTTTTGAGGGAAGAGCTTTCAGAGTTCAGAGTGATTCTGCCACTGAACATTCTCTTCAACGGAGTCAATGGAGGAGAAGCTTCCCCATTGTTGGAAACCATGACTCTTTTCCTTCCCAGTGTCCCAGTGTAACCATTATCCCCATGCACTAATGCCATTTTGGTAAGTGAAAACTTACCCACTCAAGAATCTCAGAGAAATAAAGGAGTAAAAGAAAAAAAATTCTTTTTGCTGCAGTCTGCGATACTCAAAATTCAAGGACTATTTATCAACGATTGTGAACCCATTAAGGGAAATAACAAGATTGTGGATAAGAATTTAAAAACTTTTTTATTTTCAAAAATAAAATAGAGTCCTAACAAAAAAATATGATCCTCAATTTAATTTCTCAGGATCATATTTTAATCTCTCATAAATAACAAAATTAATAGTCTGATCTCTAACATTTAAAATGGATCTTTTTTAATTTTTTTTGAGGGGTGGATTTTTTTAAATTTAAATTTAGGAGGGAACAATCTTAACTAAAAAAGTTTACTTTGAATTTCTTAAAAATCTTGGATTAATTTTTTTTAATAGGAAATTGAGGTAGGTTATGTTTACAATTTTTTTTTACAACCTCTTACAACCATATCTTAACGTTTGAAAGTGTTAAAAACCCAACCTTGGAGGGATATCTTCACGAAATGCAGTTTCTGCATTCTGTCGTGAAATATCCGGATATCTGCCCGAGAAATATCTGGATATGTGATATCCGGATATGGGAATCTGGATATCCGGATATTTTATATCCGGATATGTACAGTGAGATATCCAGATATTACATATCCGGATATGGTCCCGAGGAATATCCGGATATTCTGGGATTTCGAAGAACAGTAGCTGTGTTGTGTGTACAGTAGGCTATTGGGGGGTTTGTGGACCCTAGTTTGATGAAGTTGAACTTCTGTAATTAATGAACTAAGTCAGAATCAAATGATTAAGGGCTTATGGCTTGGTATGGAGCCTTAAGACGTAAAACGTAAAGGAAAGGCGTTGTCTTTAAGTTATATGCTTGTGGTGCATTATTATTGATATAGTATTGGTCCATAACAGATTGTGAATCTGCTGTGTTTGCACTTTGAGCTGTGGACTCTTGGCTTTGGGTGTTAGCTTGCAAGGTAAGCCTTCGTGTCCTCGGTTTAGCCATGTTGTGGTTCCACCATGTCCCATGGGGGTGTGGTTATATGCATGCTGTGTTACATGCTTTGAATATTCGAAATGTTGTTGAGCTTTATGTGTAATGGCTTTTAATATGCATGTGTTGTTTCATCTTGACAGTAAGCCTGAGTATGTGGCGTCATACGATATGGTGATCCGGGGTGAATGCAAGTGGCGTCTTGCACTATGTGTGGGTATTTGGCGTATATAAATCCTGCATTTCTCTGGCAAGTAGAATAGAATTGACACACATGACATGATTATCTGCTGCATTGCACTGTGTTAGAAATGATTTTGATGAACTGCTTTTAAACTTATATTGCACATGTATGTGAGCTTGGGGTGGAAGATCGTTGAGAACCCCTGGTCTTACTGAGATTTCTTGTTTAGAGATTTCACCCCACGTTTGGGGAATGCTTATTTCAGGTTCAGGTAGTATGGTGACTGATGCCTCTGGCGGCAGGAGGCCAGAGCTTAGCTGATTATGATATTATGTTGTATTGCTGCCATGACTGGATTTGGATGCTGTTTATGTTTCCCGCTATTTATGATTATGTTGTTGTTGAGACTGATGTTGGGCTTGTTGCCTTATTTGAGTGAGCATGGGGATTGTCCATGACACTTTATGTTAGTACCTTTAGATTGGAGTTGTATAACTTGCTAGTTTTTCTGGCCTACTTGCGGTAGTTCCGTGATTTCTAGAGACACACTTTTGTTATCTATGTTGAGGTATTTCAGTTAGCTGTTTTATTGCAATTACATACAGGCGATGTTTTATTAATTGATTAGTAAGCAAGTTGGTAATGATAATGACATCATAATTGAAAAGAAAAAGATATTCCGCATTTTTAATTAAGCGCTGCTTAATACGATAGTATGATAACATTACGGGATATATACGGGGTGTTACATTTATGGTATCAGAGCAATGGTTCGAGGGAAAAGCCTGTATGTATTGCAATAGCTAGGATGTTTGGTTGTGTCTGTCCTGTGTGTTTACTCCGTCGAATTTTATTATGATAATGCATATGTAATCACATTGCGTGGGCCTGATCAACTCATAAATTGTGTAACTTGTGCAGAGTCATGGTAAGATCCGGGAGAACACGAGAGACTTCTGAGGATCAACCCGATCCTATCCTGACTGCATTGGCTGAGATGCAGGCGGCTAGGTTAGCCGATCAGGAGGCCACTAGATTGGCCAACGCAGCAATGATGGATGGTGTTCGCGAGGCGAACCGGATAGCCGCAGAAGAGGTTCGTGAAGCGAATCGGAGGACCACTGAGGATGTCCTCGAGGCGAAAAGGATGGCGAACATGACGATGATGAGAGTCATGTTGGAGGAGATGAGGGCTGGTCCTGCTGCAGGCCAGTTACCACCGTCGCCGCCGCCGCCGCCTCCACCTAGTGTTTAGGATGAGAGCCTGAGTCACATTGGCAGTGCTGCTCATGTCGCTGAGACGAGGGAGACTCTTCTAGAGCCCGCTGAGGATCGTGATGTGTTAGATCGCCGGCTGAATGCTTTCAGGAAGCATAAGCCACCTGTGTTTGAGGGGTCTTTGGATCCTATTGCTGCTGCAAGATGGCTGGAGTCGCTGGACAAGATATTTCGGTCATGCAGTGTACAGACCCACATAAGCTGATGTTCTCGACTTACATGCTGGAGGGCAATGCCCATGAGTGGTGGACGAACACCTCTCGTGCTTATGAGATGCAGGGTCGTGTCATGACGTGGCCATTCTTTGAGGATTGCTTTTTGGGCAGATACTTTCTCTACGATGCGCAGGAGAGGAAGCAGGGGAGTCTGATAGATTGGTTCAGGGCTCGATGTCTGTTGATGAGTACCTGGCCAAGTTCAATGAGCTGGTGAAGTTTGCACACTTTCGGATGGTTCCTCCTACTCCGATATTTTTGGCTGCTAAGTTTCGTAGAGGACTTAGTGAGGTGATTGCTGAGCATATTGCTGGAGCTACTTCAAGGGACTTTGGTACACTGGTTCAGCAGTGTAAGGACATTGAGGATGTCTGCATAGCGAGCAAGGCCAAGAGGGCCAAGGTTGACGAGACCAAGGGGACTGTTAGTTCCACTCCTGTTTCTACTTCTTGGAAGGACAGGAAGTTTGCCGGGAAGGGCAAGGGTAAACAGTTGGCGACTAGGCAGGCGCCTGGTCAGTTCAAGAGGACTGCTTCACAGCAGGGGAGTTTTGCTACGCCTCCTTCCACTCCGAGATGTGCGGGGTGCGGGAAGGAGCATGTGAGACGTTGTGCTTCGGGGCAGTTGGTTTGCTTCCAGTGTGGCAAGGAGGGCCACTTCTCTAGAGACTGTCCGTCGTCGACGGCGAGAGCTGCAGCTGTTCAGGCAGTTCCTTTGCAGATGGTTCCAATGGCTTCTACTTCGGCACCTGCAGTGCCACCTTCTGTTGGGCGTGTATACACCTTGGATAGGCAGCAGTCGGACCGCGCTCCGAACCTTGTTAGAGGTACTGTGTCTATTAGTGGTATTGCTGTTGATGCATTGTTTGATTCCGAGGCTACGCATTCGTTTGTTGCTACCCCGATTGCTTTGGGGCTTGAGTTGCCCATGTCTGTGCTTTCTCCACCGTTGCAGGTGACTACCGCCACCGGAGAAATATGCGATTCTACCACTGTACATCGCGATGTAGCGTTTCAGTGGGATGGCCGTGAGTTCTCGGTGGATCTGATAGGATTGTCGATGGCCAACTTGGAGATTATTCTGGGCATGTATTGGTTGTCTAGAAACTGTGCACTGATTGATTGCTGTGCAAAGCGCGTGGTGATGTCTCCGTGTGATTCCACAGCTAGTTCCTCGCCATATATTTCATTGCTGCAGGCTAGGAAGGCCTTGAGAGCAGGGGCATTTGGTTATGTCATGTTGGGAGGTTTGGTGAGTGGGACACAGGAGGATATCACTGGCATTCCTGTGGTGGGGGAGTTCCTAGAGGTGTTTCCTGAGGAGATTCCTGAGTTTCTGCCACAGCGGGAGATAGAGTTCTCCATTGACTTGTTTCCTGGTGTGGGGCCGATTTCTTTAGCTCCATATCGGATGTCGCCACCGGAGTTGGCTGGGCTTAAGAAGCATATTGAGGATCTTTCGGAGAAAGATTTCATCCGGCCGAGTGTGTCTCCTTGGGGAGCACCGGTCATCTTTGTGAAGAAGAAGGACGGGACAATGAGATTGTCCACCGACTACCGGCAGTTGAACAAGGTGACGATCAAGAACAAGTATCCCCTTCCTCGGATTGATGATCTGTTGGATCAGCTCAGGGGCACTTGTGTGTATTCCAAGATTGATCTCCGGTCCGGATACCATCAGATTCGGGTGAAGCCGGAGGATGTCCCTAAGACCGCGTTTCGTTTGAGATACGATCACTTTGAGTATTTGGTGATCCCGTTCAGACTCACCAATGCGCCGGCAGTGTTCATGGATTACATGAACCGGATTTTCCAGCCGTATCTGGATCAATTTGTGATCGTCTTTATTAATGACATTCTGATTTACTCCAAGACGGAGGAGGAGCATGCAGAGCATCTGAGGATTGTTCTGCAAGTGCTGAAGGAGAAAAAGCTTTATGCTAAGCCTTCTAAGTGTGAGTTTTGGCTCAAATCAGTCAAGTTTCTGGGGCATGTGATTTCAGCAGATGGAGTTGCAGTGGATTCTAACAAGATTGAGGCAGTGCTGGATTGGGAGAGGCCCAAGACAGTTACGGAGGTGAGGAACTTCTTAGGTTTGGCAGGTTATTATAAGAGGTTCATCAAGGGTTTCTCCACGATGGTTCTCCCTTTGACTCGCCTTACCCGAAAGGAGACTCCATTTGTGTGGACTCACGAGTGTGAGGCGTGCTTTCAGGAGTTGAAGGAGAGATTGACTTCTTCACCTGTGTTGATCCTTCCTGATCCTGAGGAGCAGTTTGAGCTTTACTGTGATGCTTCTAGAAAGGGG